AAAATCACTCCGTGAGGCGAGTCTTCGATAAAGTCTAATATGTCCTTGAATAAAAATAATAATGAAAATTAATTTTACATTGTTTGTACATTATTCTGTATTCTAGTGAATTCTCATAAATTCTGATGAAAAAAAAGATAAAATTACGTTTTTGAATAAAATAAAATCATCTTTATTTTTTTAAATACTCATGAAATTTTAAATTAATAATTTATTCATAGTAAACTTTCTTTTTTCCATCATTTTTTGTATCCTATATACTTTATAAAAATAAAATATTTCTCATAACTTAAACAAACACGATTGTTAATTAAGTGAAGGAAACATAACAACTGTAATAGTTTGCTTCTATTCAACAGGTATGTAATTTAATATTACATTTAAAGTTATGTTTAGCTTTTTAGCATAAATAAGAGAAGTGGTTAAAATGCTGAATATGACAACATTAACATGCATTCGAAACGCTATTATGTTAACATTTCGAAAAAGAAAAAAAAACAAGATTTTCTAAGTACTATAATTGTATGAAGATTCAACTATTCAACTACTACAATGCATAATATTAACCGTTAAAACTATTATTATAACTTCTATAGTTTATAACATATCTTTTATACATTTTATCATTGAGTTGTACATATTGTCTCATATTTTAGTATATTTCCGAACTTTTAAGAAGCTTTTGCTAATCACTATTTTTTTTTTTACTTTGTATTATACAGTAGAAACTCGATTAACCGTCACTCGATTTACCGTCAGTTTCTGTTATCCGTCATCGGTCACCGTCGTCAAAAAAAAAATTAACGATGCGATTGCGATAAAATCGTCGCGGTACCTAACGCGGCGACTCTCATGCGTATAAAAATAGTTTATAATATCAATGTAATAAACGCGATAAATGCGATAATTTGCAATGAAGATGACGGATTATTTTGTTTAATATTTTTTAGAATGGTATTCTTTAAGTTATTACATATTACATATTATTTACATTATTAGTATTTATTATTTATTAGTACATATTTATTATTTATAACTTATTACTATTTTATAACTATTATATTTATTTTTTTCTGAAAATTACGTTGTAAAATACATATATACGTTTATTCAAAAATTGTTTTGTATTATTGTATTTCTGTTAACCGTCTATTCGATTAACCGTCATTGTCCCAGTCCCGACATTGACGGTTAATCGAGTTTCTACTGTAGATCGTTTTTTTGTCATTATTATAGGTTAATTATGCGTGTTTATGTATACTTATTATTTTTTTGATATCATATTTTAAGGTAATTTTTTAAATCTCTGTGGTATAATTCTATGTTAATTTATAACTAACCATCATGTTAAAAGTTAAAAGTTAAAATTATTACAATACCCATAAATATAAATAACTTATAACTAAGAATATCTTCTTTTTTTTTATTCAATAAAAAAAAAAACATATAAAAGTACTAAAAATTAATTCTCGAATGTTAACCTAACCTAATTAAAGTGACAAGGTTTCTTACAAAATAAAAATAATTAATTATTTTTAATTAGTTTTTATTATTTTTTATTTAAAATATATAGTAATTCTTAGAATAAGGAATAAAATTTCATCGCATTCTTATATTTTATATTTGATTGATTTAAGGAGTTGATAATTTTTTAACAAGTTTACATATTGTTATTTTTTTTATATTTTTAAAATGTTAAACCCCCTAGATTTTGTCATAGTTTTAGATTCTAAGCAGCAATGAATGCATTGATTTTACTATAATGTGTGTTTTATTTTGTGTGTGTATACTGTATAATGTTACCGGCAATGTGTTGAATTCTGTATTATATAGAAATCCTAGGTATTCTATAGAATACGAAAAATGAGCAGGAAAAGTATAGAATATAATACAATGACTAGGTATTTTATAAATTACCTAATCTCAAGCAGGAAAAGTATATATAATTAATATAAAACTTAGATTTTTACCTGGTGTAGCTTTGTAATCAATGATTAATGTTTATCTTGACGATTATGCTATATTTCTATCGCATACACACGTATGCGATGTATTATTATACGTATAATTATTATTATTATTCGTATTATCGCTATTATTAGCTAATCATTTTATGGAGTTATTCGTGTATACAGGAAAATTCAATATACGTCTTTAAAAATATTATTTCATTTCACTTTCGTAAAAGTGTTTGTCGTATTAAAATACATGAAAATTTCTGAACATTTTTATGTTGAACTAAAGAAAAGTTGAAAACAGTCGAAAAATACTGTAAATTTATCGAATGATAAATTGAAAATGTCAATCTAAAAAATGCTTATGTGTAAAAAAATAATATTTTATGTAGTTATAAATGTCATGCATCAACTTTAATATGCTGCAATAAATAAATAAAACTAGATAATAAACAATAAATAATAATAAACATATTTTGATTTAACACATTACCTAACATAGCATAGGCGTTTTATAGAAATCTTAGGAATTGTATAGAATACCTAGAGAATTTATAGAGTGCCTATGTTTACTACTTTGCCGGTAAAATATTCACAAAAACTCAAAAAAATGATTCGACACTCATCTTTGAGGTAGTTTTTGATATTAAATTAGATCTTACTTACGTGTTAGAAAGAAAATTAAAATTTTTCATAATTTTTTATAACATCGAAGAAGAAAAGTTATTATCACATAGAACTTCTAACGATAACATTAAAGACATTTTTATTTTAATTATAATTAATAATTAAAATGCAATAAGAAATCGGATTGATATAATCGTTTTGGAATATATTAAGTTAATTTCCAATACAATACATAAAATAAATTAGGTACAATGATCAACGATTTCTTGTTCCAATATTTGTATAATTACATATTGTATTAATAGTATTATTATTACATAATGTTTTATAAATATTCTTACATTTTTATAATTAGTAATTAAGTAATTATTATTTTCACTTGGACTCCTAATATAAATTTAACTAATCATTATATTAAGTTAATAATTTTTAATCGTGTCGCAATTTTCGATGCCAACATTTAGCCTATTGAAATATTTTTTAAACCGTTGTCGTTTCGTTGACAATACCATGTAGTCTATAATAATTAATAATAAATAGTAAATGTATATTAATATTTAAAAATTAATTTTCAGCAATTAACTATTGTATATATATAATAGATTGAATAAATATTATATTAATGATTCAAAGACGCATTTTGAACTCCAAGTTGCACAACACAATTTATGCACATCATGATCAGCACATGTATGATCATGATTCATGTGTACTAATCGTATAAAATGTAAACAAAGTTATCATAATAACCACCGGTATACAATAGTAATATGAGTAGACAATACCTGATTTTTTTGAAAAAACAAATCAAAAATTATTTTAAAATAATCAGATAAATGTTAATAGGTAAGGACACGGACCATACACTGAAGTATTACTTTCTGAAAGACTTTATATATTTTCAAATTTGGAAAATTTGTATAAATTTCGTTTTGAAAATATAAATAATATGTTAATTTAATAGATGTTTAAATACGACTGGGTTCCGAACATCGTTGGTAATAGTTTCATCCATCTTAAAAATGTTTCAAGAATTAAATTTCTAAAATCTAACATCATTATATACACATACACACACACAAACATACACATACACACATTCGTAACAACCAAATCAGATATATAACGGTAATTTAAAAATCGCTTACTTTCGGTATGGTTTTAGCGGGTTTTAGGTGTATACCGCCTATGTAGACAACGTTTGGTGTGAGCGGTCTTGGAGATTCGGTGACATAATGACTATTCTGGAAGATTATGGACGGGTTTATGGTCGGAGCTAAATCATACGGTTTCGCATCCATTAAACGAGTGGCTAGCCAGTCGTACCTGGTTCTGACTATGCTATACGCTAGCAAGGCTGTGTTGGTAAACCTCTGGATGAACGTATTGGGAACGGCGTGACTAGCAAATATGTTGGATACGTAAGATGGATTGGACAAATGACCTGTAAACAGCCGTTCGGTAAATGTAACCATAGGCGACGGGATCAAGTAAATTACGGGCAGACCAAGCGCGTCGGCAATGTACGAAAAGCAATCGAAGCTTAACGGTGGTTCGACTAATAGCAAATCGTACCGGTCGCGTATCCCGGAAGCTAATAAGTCGATCAGCTTCCGGTTACCATGTACCACATCACAATAGAACCGGGTCAGGCCGGATAAAACCTTGACTAATGCGAACGGGTTACGAAAGTTCTGAACCATGTGCATCGCGTCTAGGTCGAGCTTCATCGGGAAATCACTAGACGTATCCACCTCCGTGTAGTTTTCTCGGTCGCCGTCCAGAAATGGCGTAAAAACGGTCACGGTGTGTCCGGCGTCCACCAGTGACCTGAGCACCGAGCTCATGAAGTTCCAGTGGCTCTTTCCCGCTATCGTTTCGATTGCTAGTATCCGAGAAGCCTCCGAGACCGGAATCGTGTGTAAGTCATTCGACAACCACAAAAGCAACGTTAACGAAACCGCGGTCGACATTTGCATCAGCGCCATTGGAATTCCTTTTGTTCATGCAGGTTTTAGGAAAGCAGTTGTATACAGTCCGTTTTAGCTATACGTACGAGTATGCTCACGATATTTTCTTGTTGTTTTAAGGATAACAACTAAACTATATCGCCATCATATTATGTTACTACCGTACGTATATTATGCAAGTCCGTGTACGTCCAAACGGCTTTAGACGCGAATTGCGGCTGTCAACGGTCAAGTTTTGTCAGTCATTACACATTTGACGGTGAGCGGTACACAATATTAACTATGTATTTATATTCTTAATTATCACCTATAATGTCGTTATTTTTAATAATACGGAAAAGTTTTGCATCATAACTTTGTACATCATATTATAGATACAATTTCGATTTCCTATTATTTAAAATTATAATTATACTATACGGTATGAGACTTTAAATCCAATTATACGTCTATATTTGCTATTTTTAGTATATCATGATAATTTGTTTAGTTAAAACTAGTTTTCAATGCCGTTTTTAATTCTTCGATTGTTTTGAGCGATTATGTTGAAATACCATTGGTTAACTGTTTGTATAGTTTCTATTCTAAAATAACATGTTATTAAACTATACGAATTCGCTAACTACAACTTAAAAGAAATAAAAAGTTCGATGAATTATTTTACAAACGATGAGATATTATCACTTATCAGCATATATACTCGAGTCACAATTTTTCTTCTTTTTTGATTTACCAATTGTGATAATATTTCAATTATATTATATAATCTATCATTAAACTTATTATATTATTATATATAAAAAGGATTTTAATATCTCAAAATTAAATTATTTAATAAGATGAATAATAATTAATAAATATGTCGTCAACAGTATTTAATATTATATCAGTGTCCATATTTAAAAGTAATAGCATTATATTTTAATTTAATATTTTTTTTTAAATATTAAAAAATATTAAAAATATTTACATTGAATGGAAATGTATTATCGGTATCTGCCTAGTTATAGTAATATTTATATTACCTACTTATAACGATAAAAACATTTAAGAATTTAAAATAAAAAGGGAAAGAAGATGGCAGCTATTTTAAACAATATGTTTTGATTGTACCTCGTCTTTGAGAATTAACTAACTGTGGTGTATGTTAAAAAATGAATTGAATAATAAATTATTACATCATTACATCTAAACATCGATTCTGAGCAAAAATTATCTGTTAGTTTATATGAACAAGCATATTTTATGATGTATTTAAATTGCTATTAAACTATTAAAGTAACTTTTTTTTTTTTTTTGTGTTAATATATGGTAGCCGATAGGATGGCATGGAACGATAATGAACATTAAACCTTTTTGGCAGAATGATTAAAAACACTTAAAACTAACAAAGAACTTACCACTGACCCAAAAAACCAATACAATTGAAATATAATTGCAAAATTTCCATATAATTAATTTAGCTAGTAAAGGATTTAGTAATGTATATATAAAGAAAATGTTTAATGCAATTAATATTCTTGAAAAACGTCTAAATATTATTACTTGCATATCAGTAATAACGAGATAGCGTAGGCCATTATTTTGATAAATTACTTGAAATTTTATTTTTCACATTCCACATACATTTATAATGAATATTGAGAATCTTTGTTTTAAACGCTTAACAGTCATTTTCTCTTATCTGGTATCTAAGTCACTAATTATAACCAGTAAATCCAATAATAGTCCTATAAATATCAAAAAATATCGTTTAATAATTATTATTGAAGTTAACAAGATTGAAGTACTTGTACAGTTCTGATATAATAATTATATTAAGGGCTGTAAATGATATATACAAAGGAAGCGAGAAAAAGTTTACAACTTACACATTTAATAATAAGAATATTATTAATTTAATCTTAAAATGTGCTGTATTTATTTTATAATAAATAAATTAAACTACGAAACCTTACATTACAATTAATTACTGAGCCATTCAACAAATTTTCATCTCGCGGAAACAACCAGACACAATATTGGGCAAGACTTAAACTTTTACTTGAATAAAGACTTTGCGTTAAACGTATTTCAGGAGAATCTACATCTCGAAATTACATCAAAAAGACATTCACAAAGTGAGTCAGTTCATAACAACTAATTTTGAAATAGTTGAGAAACTACTCCATGAATAATGTAGTGTGAGCACTTCCATATATAAGTACATTGACATTTTAATATAATAATTAATAAATATGTGGCATAAGGATACAATATTATGTTAGCTAAATTGATTTTTTATAGAATTATTAACTTAGAGTATACAATATAAAATGCACCTTAAAAGGTGTTGTAGATTTTATCTAATATCACTCAATAGGAGTAATAATTCCCAACGACATCTACATTCTAGGACAATTTTATTACGTATACATTAGTAACAGTACCTTAAGAATTTTTTTTTTCTTAAAGGAATGTATAAATAGCTCTATGTATATTAGGTGAAGATATGAAGTACCAAGAACACTATACCTTTGTGAGTATGTACCGTACATATTATATAATAGTTTAACTTTGTGATAGGTAATTTCTCTTGAACCGCTATTTCTGTCTTACTCCAAGACAGTGTTTGTATGTATGTATATATGACATATGGATGTGCGTATGTTAGGTTTAAAATGTTGTGATTTAAATAATAGATAATATATCTTATAGTTATTTAATAATAACTTTTTTTTTATATTTCAGTTGTTATTCGTACTTATTACTGTCAGAAACTAGTTCCTATTTTTTCTGTTTTATATTTATCACATATAGATTCTTTTTATATGCATATGATTTATTATTATATAAAACAACACTTTTTTTTCGATTGCACTTTTATTTATTTTAGTGAACCAACTACCATTGAATGGGTAACAACATCAATAAACACAACACTTTCATTTAAATAATAATAACTATAGTAGGTAATAAGTAATAACAACAGTAAAAGTAAATGTGATAATAAATATCAAATGTTTGTATGAGATGGTAGACAAAAGTATTAATGAGTTTTGACTTTGTCGTTTTTAAAAGTGTACTTACGAATACGTTTAAAAACCTTATACACTAAAAATGTAACTAAGAAAACAAAGGTAAACACTACAACAAACACGTCCAACAGTAGATATTGATACCACGTCAAATTTAGAGCGTGAGATTTCAAATGTGGAGCGCCTTTGTGACGGATTACATACTCCGTCCAATAAACGACTGACTCTTGAGGCGTCATCGGTCGGTCTTTGAATCGGATAGAAGCAATTTTAGCATTTTTTGAGTATCTATAAAAAAAAATATACACAATATATAAATATATGACAAATACCGTTGAAAACTAGTATAGTAGATATCATATTATGATGTATTATTCGTGACGCATGTCATCAGAGACTTACGTTTCGTCGTTGATAAGTTTTGAAATGACATTAGTCAATTTTTCTTTTGTCGCCGATAACAGGTCCATGGATATTGCCATTCCGGCGAGGACCAAATGTTCGATATTTCTCGGCTGATCGTAAAACAATGGTATTCCCAGTACGGGAACTCCGCCGTCCAATGCTTCGTATACTCCGGACATACCCCCATGACTAATAAACAGTTTAACTTTGGGATGCACTGTAAAAAGTGATATTGTAACTATATATTACTTTTTCCCAAAAACACAAATACGGTAATGTATCAAAAATAGTACCTACATAATATTTCTCGTTGAGGAAACCATTTTTTCGTCATTACGTTTTTCGGTTTGTCTTTCATTTCACCTTCGTATTTCCACAAGACTCTCTGAGGAACGTCGGCCAACGCTTCTTTAAATGCGTTTTCAATATGTTCAGGTAACGATGATACTTTAATCGTGGAACCGAATGTAAAGAAAATCACTCCGTGAGGCGAGTCTTCGATAAAGTCTAATATGTCCTT